GACAATATGTTTAAAATAATGCTTAAACACTTTGGGCACAACACATACAAAAGGAATGAACCAACAAGAACACAAGCAACACAAACACTGAAAAACCAACGCGACGCAATGGTGTCAGCCTTTACTGAAATGCTTGACAACAACAAACCACCAGAACCACCGCCAAAGAAACCACCAGACGAGGATGACAGCGATGAAGAAGAAAAGAAGTTCAAACTGACAAAAATGATAGAAATAATGCTACACAACGGCGCTACAATAGCAGATATCATATTAAACTTATCACACAGTGCAATTGCAGCAACTATAAATATCGCAGATTTAGTCAATCAAATAACAGCAGGACATGCACAAAGTAGCGGTAGCAATTCATCAAATGAAGCTATTAGTGTTCATAGTTCTCCACCTATTCCTGTTCATAGTTCTTCATCTGAAAGTCCAACAGAAATACCAGCACCAACTGAAGACGAAGAAGAAGAAGAAAACCAATCAATTTTGAAAAATTAAAATCTAAATAATATTATATATAATGGGTTCAAGTAAATCAAAACCAGTAGAAATTGATGATGAAGAGGCTATTAAAGTAATAAAAGATATAGATGTAAATACGATAAGTGAAATGTCAAGAATTGATATTCTACAAATAAATTCATTGAAAGCAATAATCAATAAGTTAGAAAAAGTTAGTGAATGTAAAAAAGATAAAATATATTATAAATTACCTGCTTTGAATTTATGTAGTTATTCTTTATTTTAAATTAATTATATTAAAACAAATTAATATTATTAATTGCTTATACAACTTCTTTCACTTTTTGGCGTTGATGTTGAAACAGTGCTATTTGTTTCATCTATTAAATCTTCTTCGTCAACAAAATTATTTTGAAATCTTAATAATTCCTCGTCCGTTGCCCTCCTCTTCAATGCCTTATAAAGTTTATGTATCCAAGAATTAGTATGAAAATTATAATTACCTCTACGATACAACCCACCACATCTACATAGTTTCATTGGCATATTATTATATTATATTAAGTTAGAATATCTTTATTCATCATTTGTAATTTGAAACGCCTGTTCAAAATTGATATGAAACATTTTGTTAATGTCTTTTGAATTCATATTCACGTAGAAAAAAGAATATGGAGCAACATTAACGGCTTGATGATACATATCTAATAATTGCTGTTTGTCAACAATGGCACTATTTTCTTCAATAAAACTCATGAATTCACTGGCATTTTTCAATCTAAAATATATATAATGAACTGGCATTTAAACGAATGATAGGCGCTAAAACATTGTATTTTTGTGTTGAACAAATCACACTTACTGCATCGTGCCTGCCTCTTGTAAATAATCCATGTAATAATTTACTATATCTAACAAATTTAGGGTCGTCTGCGTGGTCATCTATAACGATTCATATTGAATGCAGTTTCTTTATCTTTTTAGATTTCATATAATTAATTATTTTCTTCTTTCTTTCAATTACATTTTCTAAATCACTTGGATTATAATTATCAAAATAAATTTGTTCTTTTTCATCATCCACGTGCAATTCGTCCCTGATATATTTTTTAACTTCTGTAAATGTAGGGTCGTTAGTGAAAATATAAATATTCTTGCAAATGAATTTCTATAAACATTCAATATTAGATTTTGAATAAGGACAGTCTCACCACCTGTCGAAGAAGCAACTATAATACTTCTAAATGGTAATTTTGGCACGTGCTCATATTGAATTCATATTCAGTTATGTTTATTGGTTTTATTATTGGAACATCTGTCATATAGTTGATATTAAACATATGTAGAAAATAATTTAATATTATTTATTGTATGAAAGCATTGCTATGATATGATTGGGGTCTATCGTAGTAGAACAGGCTCTTTCATTGAAGCTAATTAGTTCGATGCGTTGTAAAGAAAACCCCAAGTGCTGTGCCCTCCGAATATTCTATCATGCATGAAAATAATAAGATTAAATAACTATTTTATCTTATTATTTATATGAATAGGAGTTATTGAGATTATATTAATATAACAGATGAAGTAGAGAATATAGAACAAGTAATAATAACTGATAATAAAATTAAGAAATGTTGTTATTATTCATTAGAAATACTCAAGCTAGGAATACAATATATCAAAAATCAAAATGTAAATATTAATATAAATGGTGAAAAAGAAAAAGAAAAACAACAATAAGACAGGTTTAAGTGTTTCTTCAACAGATGAAGATAGCGGAGAAATTGTTAAAGAAACAGCAGTAATTGAGGTTGCTTGTCCTATGTGCAAAAAGATGTTAGAACTTAAAAATGAGTTAGAAATACAAAGGAAGGGAAATTGTAAATGTAGTTGTGTGCCAGTTGGTTTTAAAGTAAGTAAAAATGATAAGAAATGAATATTGATAAAACTAAAGACAGTATCAACTTAGAAACTGATGTCCATAATATAACTTTTAAATTTGGTAGGCAAGCAACACCATCCGATAATAATGAAAACGAAACACAGGAAACTGTTAAACAAATGATGAAAATATATAATTAAATAAATAAATATCTAAATAAATATATAGTAATGTCTGAAAATGAAAATTATACTATTAATGATTTAATGAAGAAGATAACATTAATTGGTAAAAATATCAAAAACTTAAATGATATGATTAAATCCATTGATGACAAAATGAAACCAGTTGAACGCGAACAACAAAGCAACGAAGAGAAGGAGACAATCGAAAAGATATTTCAAGCAAAATCTATAGGAAGACCATCGGGCGACTACCCTACAAAGCAAAAGAAATACTGTGATATGTTGAATACAGGAAAAATCAAACAACCTAAAAGCACCACTTTAGAATTTTATAAAATTTCAAAAAATGATGATGGAGTATATGTATTATTTGAATAATTAATATCTAAGTAATTCTAATAATATGAATTTATTAGAATTATTTAGCGGAACAAAAAGCGTCGGAACCATAGCAAAGTCGCTTGGATTTAATGTAATATCATTAGACTTGAAAAATGCTGATATCAACACTGATATTTTGGAGTGGGATTACAAACAGTTTGACAGAAACCATTTTGATTTTATTTGGAGTAGTCCCCCATGCACTGAATATAGTGTAGCAAAAACTAGGGGAATTAGGAATATCGAATATGCAAATAGTATTGTCTTAAAAACTATTGATATTATCAAATATTTTAATCCTAAATATTTTGTAATCGAAAATCCACAAACTGGATTATTAAAACATCAGGAGTTTATGGATGAGTTTGATTTTAAAGATGTAGATTACTGTAAATATGGAATGCCTTACAGAAAACACACTAGGCTCTGGAATGACATTACAACTTGGAAACCTAGAGAATTATGTAAAAAGGATTGTGGCATCATCAGGAATAATAAACATATTGAAACAGCACAACGGCTACCATCGGGCACCAAGGAAAATGGGGTGACAATCCAATAATACATAAACAGGAAGATTTATACAAAATACCTAGCGAATTAATTTGTGAAATCTTGGTGAGTTTGGTGGATTAAGTTTGGGATTGGGCTTGAAACTTGAAAACCCAGCTAAAATGAATACACGCCAAATTGGTGTGTATGTCCATCGGTATTGGTGTGTGTGGTTACCGGTATTGGTGTGTGCGGCTAGCGGTATTGGTGTGTGCGGCTAGCGGTATTGGTGTGTGCGGCTAGCGGTATTGGTGTGTGCGGCTAGCGGTATTGGTGTGTGCGGCTAGCGGTATTGGTGTGTGTGTGTGTGGCTACCGGTTCTGGCGCAACTATTGAACTGATAGTGGTGAAATTCTTGATTTTGGTGGTGAAATCGCTGATTTTGGTGGTGAAATCACTGATTTTGGTGGTGAAATCACTGATTTTGGTGGTGAAATCACTGATTTTGGTGGTGAAATTACTGATTTTGGTGGTGAAATCACTGATTTTGGTGGATTAAGGATTTTGATTTCAGTAAAGTGGTCTACAGTTTTCAGTAAAGTGGTCTACTGTTTTCAGTACAGTGGTCTACTGTTTTCAGTAAAGTGGTCTACTGTTTTGCTTACTGTTTTCAGTACAGTGGTCTACTGTTTTCAGTAAGTGGCCTACTCTTTTCAGTAAAGTGGTCTACTGTTTTCAGTAAGTGGCCTACTGTTTTCAGTAAAGTGGTCTACTGCTAAATGGAATAGAACAATCATTAGGACAGCAGTATTATTATCTGTCTTGAGACATGAGTTATTAAAACCATACTATGATTATAACATTTATACCCTTATATGTTATAATTATAATGTAAGTATAGCGTTTTGTATATTGAAGATAAAATCCTACAAGGAGGACCACGCCTAAACAAATATATGATAAAAGTGATGAATCGAAGGAGGGGAGTGATGTTGTTGCTGTTCTATTTTTTGTCCGAGAAATGGACAAATCGTTTTTAGACAGTTCGAATATTTTTTTGATGACACATATTTTTTGCAATATATTTTCCAAAATTTATTTTTTTGAAATGCATGAGGTGAGGAGATTGAGGAAATGGTATTTTGAAAGGTAGTTGGTGAAATGAATGAGGCGAGGAGGAAGGAGAAAAGGATGGCGAACATTTTGGAAAAGTGATGAGAAAAAAACGGATGAGATGGACAGAAAGGAATGTAGAAAAATGATGAAAACAAATACGGGTAGAAGATGGAAGATGAAAAAAGTTGTAGGGGGGGGGGGGTGTATGTATGAAAGCAATTTATTGCTAGGCGTGGCCCTCGACTACTTAATATTGGCCCCGGATGAACCAACCCTCTCTTATTTGATAGGGCGTCCCTGGGTGTGGGGATTTAGGCCACGTACCCCATATTATAGAATAGGGTTGTGTTGATCGGGGCCAGCACTCATCCCCCAGGGATGTTTTGTCCCCAAGCTTTGGGGTAGGTTCTGGGACCCGGTTACTGGGAACACCAGCTGGGCTTTCAAGAAATCACGCGAGGTTGCCGTTGGAGGTACCTGTCCAAACTCACGGCCGACAATTGCCTGGTCTTCATCACCAGCGATGGCTTCAAGGAGGAGAGCGCCGCAGGCGGGAGCAGCTCTGTCCGAGCCGCTGTCTGTACCTGGGCCGGGGTGGGGGGGGGGGGAATGCCGAGAGTGGATGATGGATGAGGCATGGCCCTCTAGATATATTGGTGGTTTGGTTTGGTGGTTTGGGCGTACATGGGCAGCTTCCTCATTTGTCTTCAAAACGAAGTGGGGTTCCTAAACAACCCATGCAAACCACCAACTGAGAGGTTAACAAGCCTCCGGTTCCAGAGTTATGCCCCAAGGATCTTGCAGCTACTTTCAGGTAGCGGTGGTTTTCCCCAAACCAACTCCTCGGAGAAGGTTGCTATATGGTTGCATATCCCATCAAACCCCTGATTTGGGATAGTGGAAACCATCTTGGGAGGTACGCACCCCTACTGCGATGGCTTGTCCCGGATGTCTACCCGGACGGCTCTGTTGAATCCGCTTGTCGTGGTGCCTGTGTTGTACCCGGCTAATTACCCGTGGCAAGATGCACGCATGGCGACGCCGTGCGTCGTTGGGTAAAGGTTGCCACTTTCTGCGATACCGATGGAATCCCCCTTAGTGCCAAAATGAAGCCCACTTTGGTATCACAGAAGGGGTCATGTCGGCACGTGCCAAATAGGGATTTGACACCGATTTGAAACCCGCCCCAGGTACCCTCCGAAACGCAGACCCAGCAGCTCAAATTTGAACCATTCCGTCAACAGCGTTGTCGAGGCGATGCTGATGAGAAGGGCTGGAAGACCGAGCAGTGGTACAAGGCAGGGGCCGCAAACCTGCAAGCTCACATAGGTGTGCATTTGTTGGGTCAAAGGGAAACTAAAGGGGAGTCCGATGTCCCAGACTCGAAAATCAGGGGGTTCCATGCTAATCTGAGTCCAGTCATTTCTGCACGCCGGTTGCGCCTTGGGCGTGCCCTGATCCCCACCTCCCCCATTTTCCGGGCATCTTGGGAAACATTGAGGTCCGGGGCATTGAGTAGTTGCCGATTGCGCTAGCAACTGCGCAAGTCTTTGGCCGGCTCGCAGCCCGTGCTCAAGAGCATCTGGGACCTGAGTCCAGTAAACGACGAGGCAGGGTTGACCTTCTGGCCACAAATCAGTGAGCCGACGAGCATATATCAGCTGGGCAGATGGAGCAGCTTAATTTCGGGGCGCGCCCGGAAAGCCGTCACTTTAGCCGCTCGGGCACAGGCCCTTGGTCGCCGAGCAATGCAGGAGCCCTTGGTGTCAGAAGGGACTGGACGTCCGTTTGCCCAGCGCTTGTGCAAGGTTGTGGCGGTGGTGGCGGTTTTGGGGTTCCTGGGCTTGGGCTGGAACATGGCCGACCACACGGCATCACAAGGCCTGGCGTTCCAAGAAGACCCACCCAATGGCTTCGGCGGCTTCTTTTGTTAACATGGTTTCCCCCCATAAGAGAACGAAAGGATCTGGCCAGTTGTCTGGGAGAGAGGGGCCGAGCAGCTGGGTTTTTAAATGAACTCAACCTGCTGGTTTGTTCTTGTTTAGGGACCTTGGCTCTTGTTGAGGGCCCTGTGTGCTCGCAAGTCGGGCTGGTGGACAGTATGCCAGTGCAGTAGCTGGACGCGCAGCTAAAGCAACCACGTTCTTCGGGGTGTGTCATAGTGCGGCCGTACCGTTGTCTGGGTCCCCACCTGGTGACCGGGGTGATCGAACGTCATTGCAATGGACCCAGTTTTGGGGTTCCATTTTGGCTTGGTGCCCTTTTCGCGGCTGTTCCCTTTGGGGACTCAAAATCTGATTTGGAGCCAAACCCAGCTTAACTGAGGGCCAAAGATCTTCAACCATGTGCTGGGGAATGTAGCTAACCATTGTACAGGTTCCGTTTTTCATGGAACCACCCACAGGTTTGCCCACTCAGATGCAGGTGACCTGGCCGCAGTGAGGAAGATGTATTCTTATTGGGCGGACGGCAAGCTGGCGGGCAGCTCCTGCGTCGCAGCCGCCAAGCAGATCGCTCTGGAGGACGTGGTCTACGACGCCTCCTCGGACGCGATGCCCCACGTGGGCGGCGCCAAGGTGCCGATGGTGGTCATGAGCTCGCTCATGGTGTGGGTATGTTTACTCAGGGGTCCCCCCATTTCAGGTTTGGGTAGAGTTGTACAAGTTGCAGAACCCGGGGTTAGAGAAAATGAGGTTGGGGGTCTAAAAATGGTTGGGGTGCCACTTTCTACGAGTGAGGGACTTTTTGAGAGTGAATATGTAGCCGTGGGATGACAATCCCACTTTGGTGAGACAGAAAGGGCTACTCCCCTTCAAATCAGCATGCAACCCTCGAAGCATCGTGCAGAGGAGACGCTTCTTGTAGACCCCAATCAAAACCACCAATTAGGGGGAAGCTGATGCTTGGCCGCCTGTCATAAATTGGGTCAGAAGCGTTCTAAATGGGGTTCACAGGTTCACTGGGCTTGTAACCCCAAAAGAACCAAGTAGGTTGTTGGGTTGACTTTTGGCATCTGGTTCGTGTGGAGAGTACCTCCACACCACCAATCCCAAATCACCAAATAGAGGGCAGCTGAACGCAGGTGTACCACGGCCCGGCGGGGATCTGTGACTTCGGCGCCTTCTTGGCCACCTTTCGGCAGCCGGACTACCGGCTAGTCGAGCAGCTGCACAGCGGCACGGGCACGGTGGTGGTAAAGGAGTCGCTGACCCCCACGGTGCTGGCCACCAACAAGACGGTGAAGCAGGCCATGCAGAACCTTGTGGCGTCTTCGCCGGCAGAGGTCTGCAGGTGTTTTTGTTTTGTTTTGTGTTTTTCCTTTCCAGGTGTGGAAAAAGGAGAGGTTCAAAAGGGTGTCAACTCGATGGTACGAAGGAAGTAATTACCTTTCAAGCTTTTAAAGCATTGGCTGTTTCTAAAAGTAGTCTTGTTGCCTTTGTTAAAGATGACACGGGTTCCCCTGCTAACTGTTGTTGGATGGTGTTACTTGAATTGACCAACTCAGGAATATAAGGTGAGAGACGGGAAGATTGCCTCCATGAAAGTCTACTGGGGAGAGCCTCATACCTTTGACAGCCTGTTCCATTGAGAGGCGCGTGACCATTTGTCAATGGACAGCACCGGATTTGGGACAGATTCATCAATCACGGAAGCTGTTCTTTGGGCATTTCCACGGAGAAAGCGGCCTCCATTGTCAGCTGAGCACAAAATGTCAGAGGTCCAGCTTGCAAAGAACCGAAAAGAGGGCGCGCGCGCGTGCTTTGACAACTCTAACTCATGAGAGGGTCCTTGACTTTGTTCTCTTAGCCTTGTGCTTTGTCCAAGTTGATTGAGTTAGGAGACGCATATGTTAAGTACACAAGTACATGCTTTCTTTGTACATGCACATTTATTTTGCGGACCCCTGTGACCATGCGATGCGCGCCCATAGCACAGATATCGACTTGGCAGGCAGCCTTCAAGGAGGAGCCCCTCGCAGACCAGCTGCCACTCTGGGAGGTGGGACCCCGCTGGGAAAGCTCGTCACCTGGTCCCTTGCCAACAAAATGACATGGAACCCGGACAGGATCGATTCCATTGGAAAAAGGGGATGGTTGTCTGAGTTCCGTGTGATCATGTCGATGAAAAGAGGGCTCCCAAAACTCGCCAGGCCGCCCTGGCAGAGCTACTGCAGGGAGAGCCGCGCGGAGCTTAGCCGAGCCCCGAATCCCGTGGCAAAATCATTCGATCCCTCAAGGGTGCAAGTCCTTTTTGAACCCTCAGTCACTTGCAGCCGACTTCTTTCTTTCCGCTTCTTTCTCTCCCTTCTTCCTCTCTGCTTAGCAAGCTTTGCCGTCTAAGTAAATCGAGGTTGGGTGAAAGTGGATCGCGCAATTCCCTTTTTGCCAAAGCGGATGAAGGGAAAAAGAACCTAAATGTGGAGATTGTGGCATCCACTTTCAGCCTTGTGGTGATGCAGCGCGCCATGCTAAGGTCTGGCTTGGAGCTTCCCCAGCCTAATCGCTTTATCCCGGAGGCCGAGTCGCACGGTTCCTGTCGGAACCCCTGAGGTGAACCTGGAACCCGAAAAATCAGGGCCCCCAAATAGGAGATTCGAATCGTCGAGCACGATACGCCTTCCAACCTTTGTCAGAGGAAACAACGTTGTGGGACCCGCCGTTTTGTCAATTTGATTTATATGTTGTTTATTTATGTAAATCCTTCACTTCCAGGAAGTCTCCTTAAACTGACGGGGACTTTTTCGTGGAAAACCGGCGTTTTAAGTTGTGCCAGGACTTCTCGCTGAAAGGTGGCGAGGGCGAAGGCCAGGGAACAGCTTCATCAGTCGTTCAGGTCAGCTTTGAAAACGGATGGCGCTGCTTTTGTTTGTCTTTGGCTACGGTTGTTCAGCAACTAAAGCAGGGGTCCAAAAAGCAATGCCTTGTGGGCCAGCTGAGTTTCCCTTGGGTGATGTTTTCAGGCTAGTATAGGAAGTCCCGGCTGAGCGGCAAGGTCGAGAGGTGACCAAGTTGCCGCTGGAGGCTGGTGGCTTTATGAAGATGCACTCCCTACATGCCATGTGTCGAAGGTTTGGGCATTGCACATGTGAGTTTGAGCGTTTTCTTGTGCACCCATTCTCAGGCGGTTGAAAGGGAATCCAAAAAGCAAACCACTCATGTTGCATGCCCCATTTGATATGGGGGGGGGGGGGGGCGGGCGCAATCCAATTCAGGGGCGCGCCTTCAGGGAGGAGGTTCTTCTTAGTTGTTCAGGGTCAACATCCGGTACGAGGAAATGCTGGGAAAGCTCATCCCCGCCGGCCCATGGCCCTGAACATGGTCCCAGATGGCCACTGGCTCCCCTGGCTATGTGAATCATGAATCTGACCCAGAAGTTTGGCCGTATTCGGCTACAGTCTTCAGCGCCCAAGCTTGGCCCCACTCAAAGCGTGATCCTCCGCGGGCCCCATTTCATTTTTGGCCCCCCCCCCCCCGGATCGGCGGCTTTTGGAAGGCTACCGCCCTTTTGGCGAAGTCTCCAATCCATGTCCTTGGTTGTTGGAAAGGGGGTAGGCTCACCATGGCTCGCCTTCTCGTCCCATTCAATCGAGTTGCCTTTGGGAGACTCGCCGCGGCTGGGCTTGGGTTCAGGTTCTGCCGCCCGCGCCCTTGGCGGCGGAGCCCATGCAAAAGGCCCCAGACAAGCCGCGGAGAAAGAGACGGAGCTGGGTCTTTTTTGAGTTGGGTTCAGTTGAGATGGTGTCCAATGATTTCGGTTCGTGTTTGGTGTTCATTGATTTCCGTTGGCTTCAAGTGACCTCAGTTGGTTTGCGCAAATGTCCGTTGGTTGCCATTGGTTTAGCTGGTTTCACTTTGTTCCATGGATTTTAGTTTGTTTCAGTTTGTTTCCATTGATTGCAGTTGGTTTCCATTGATTTCACTCGGTGTCCGTTGAGTTCAGTTGGTTTCAAGTGTTTTCAGTTTTTTTGTGTGTTGATTTCAGTTGGTTTCCATTGATTTCAGTCGGTTTCCAATGATTTCGGTCGGCTTCCAAGGATTTCAGCTGGTTCCAGGGTTTTCAGTTAGTTGGTGTCCATTGATTTCAGTTGGTTTCCATTGATTGCACTTGGTTCATTACTTGGAGTTGGTTTCACTTGGTGTCTATTTATTTTCAGTTGGTCTCCATTGAGTTTAGTTGGCTTCATGTGTGTTCTGTTGATTTCCATTGATTTTAACTTTTTTTCCTATTGAATTCAGTTGGTGTCAAGTGATTCCAGTTGGTTTCAAATGATTGTAGTACTTTGCGACGGATGTCAGTTGATTTGAGTTTGTGTCCATTGTTTTGAAGTGGTTTCAAGTGATTTCAGTTGGTTTCGATGGATTTGAGATGGTGTTCATCGATTTCGGTTTGTGTCCATTGGTTTCAGTCCGTTTCGATTGATTTTGGTCGGTTTCAACGAACTGATTTGAGTCGGTCTCAACTGATGTCAGTTGTTTTCAATTGGCTTTACTTGGCTTCAGTTGATTTAGCTGGTGCAAATTGATTCTATATTGGTGTTCATCAGCTTCAAGTTGGTTTCAATTGATTTCAGTTGGTTTCGATTTCAGTCGTTTGAATTGGTGTCAGATGGTCTTGATTGAGAAAACAGTTGGTTTCAACAGAATTCGGTTGGTCTTAATTTGTGATTTCAGGTGGTTTCGATTGATCATCGGATTTTAGCCGGTTTTGATTGATTTCAGTTGGTTTCAGTGGCTTTCAGATGTTTCGGTTCGTGTCAGTTGGTCTCTCTTGATGTCAAGTGTGTCTTTGCTGCCGAGGGTACACTTTGGGTTGTTTCAAAGGGGGGGCCAGAGGTAAACCATGCATTCGGGAGGTCCTCCACGTGGGCATGATCTATGTAATCCGGGTTGGTAATAAGTATCATGAGTGATCGAAGGGCGCCACATTGCAAAGGCAAGACGATTCAGGGCCTATGCGGCCGACGTGGCATGCCTGCGTGTGATTCGCTATTGATTAGCTCAGGCTGCGACTCTGGCACAAGATGGACAAAGCCTTCAAGACGCCGAGAGAATACGTGCGCCTGTCTGGCCTTCAAGACAGGTGTAGCCATTTCATTCGCTCAGATCGCCGCATGTGCGCATTAAAACCTGGGGGCACGAACAGAGCCTTGCATAGGTTCAGGCCCGCCAGTCGTGCATGGCAATGACTGCTGCACCTAGAATCAGGTTCCTGGTGGGCGTTGCTGAACTCATTGGGAGTTGCATTTTTTCTTGATTGGCAGCGTGAGGCCGCAAAGTCTTGTGCCAAGGGTGCGCCCAGCAGCATACGGGGATTTGCTTCCAAGTTGCATGCTGTCCCGACATTCACGAAACACCCGAATGTAAGGTGTTTGTTTTTTGTTTCGATTACAACAGGTACTGACCCACGTCCACACTGGTACCTACGAAGCAGGCCGGCCACGGGCGAACCGCGAATTTGCCCTGAGGTTCATGGGATTGGATCCCCTCTCTCATTTTCAGTTTGCAAACTAGAGCACTTGGCAAAATGAGGTGCTTTTCCTCGGCCCGTCACGCGTGTTTCCACCCCAAACCGCTGAGTTGTTCAACATTCAGCTTCAACTCTGCCAGATGGCTTCCCAAATGAGTGTTTTTTGTTTTAACGGTTTTTGGGGTAGCTCTTTTTACAAGGTTTTGAAGGGAAACCCAAAAGAACCAACATTTTGGGGGGGTCCCGGGGTCCCCGAAAAAGTGACACACCCACATTGGTGATCGGTTCCTCACTCGCACCCCCCTGGAGCCACTTGCGAGGCCCCGAGGCGGTGTCTATGATGCGCCTCTTCTGCGGAGCCAGGGCGCACGGCTGGGGAAGGTCAGTTGGCCCTCGGATTGGTTTCTTCTGTTTAACTGCATTGATGATTTTGTTTTAACTTTGTGGTTGAAACCAAATATTCCAAAAACGAAATACAAAACAATAAAGACTACATTCCATCTTTTTGGTATTCCCCCATCCTTTTGCCTCCCTCACGCGAGGTGGGGTACACCACCTTTTGGCATGGGGGGGCTCAAGCAGTTTGCAAGCTTGCACGTCAAAGTGTTTAGGCGAGTCATGGGCCGAGCCTGGAGCCATCCACATGCCGCCCTCATCTTCCTGGCGCATCGAAGACGTTTCCTTCTCTTCATGTTCTACCTCACCTTACCCCTTTGCGATTTTGTGCGGTGGTTTGGACGTAAAGGGTACCTTCCCCATGCTTCAAAAAGGAGCTGGAACTCGAACTTCCACCCAAGCCAATCCAAACCACCTGGCACACCTGACTAGGTGGACACGAGTTAACCCACTGGCACGCATCCAATGAAACTTGGGACGGTGTAGTCCAATTGGAAGGGTGCAGATCTCACGTTTCGCCATGAGGTGGTCAGCGACGACCTCAATACCTTCGCCTACGATGCCCAGGTTGCGGGGCGGGGAGCTTATGGGCTAGGTCGTGAGATGGATGTTGGATGCCCATGTCCCCAATAGTGAGCAGATCTATTCAGGGGGCCTTTGTTTGTATTTCCCCATGGTTTCCCTTAGTGGATAAACGGGAAATCAGGCAGAGGAGGAGGGTTTTCGTATTCACTTCCACTTGGGGAGGGGATCGTACCACGCTAAAACGATCATGCGGATTCCCATGGCAGCATTCCTAGAATGACGCAGCGCCGCACATCTGTATTCAAGGACCCTCTTGGTTGGCGTGCAAATAGTGTATGCAGAGCTGGTGAATCGCAACATCGCTATGTGTGCCCCTAGCTTGAAAACGCCAACACTGAAGCAGAGGCTGGGCTATTCCCTGGATTTTGCAGACAACCTCTCCATGTCCGTGGGTGGCTTCAGTGACAAGCTGCCCGAGCTCATGGAGGTGGGTTGGCCCATGCGATCTGTTTACTTGGCCACCTTTGGTTATGAATGGGGTTGTAGACCTCCGAAATGGGGTTGCCTGGGCTTGTAAATCCCAACGCCTAAGCCATCCGTAGGCGTGCCCGAACTTCCCCAGTCTCGCTAGGTGGTGGTGGAGCGGGTGGCTGATGTGCTGGAGCAGATCGAAGCCGCAGGGAAGACGCAGGAGCAGAGCGCTGGCCGAGTGGGTCCCAAGGCCGTTTGGCCATGAGTTCAAATGGGAACCGAGAAACCGCTGATGGATCCTGAGGGTGTCCTATTGATAGGACGGGTTTATTGATCCGGGATCGACGACACTAGCAGGGAATCACCTCAAGAGTGGTTGGTGGACACACCAACTTCTGATGTCCACCAAAGGGTTTCCTACCAAATTTCACACCAGTTTGAGCCACACCGGCTTTTGGTTTTGGCGTTTATGTGTGTGTGTGTGTGTGTCCACAGATGTGCACTATCCTCACCCAAATCCTTGAAATCGACTCGGCGCACGGCAAGCGAATCCGCGAATCGGATTCGACATTTCTTCTCCTCGCCCGCGAGGAGTCGGAGCTGGGCGAGCGCGGCCAGGAGAGGGCCATCAAAACCTCACCCAGCTGCCCTGGCAAATCAGATATTGGTATGCAACCCATCAATATTTTTCGATCCACCAACATGCAACCTGACCAGGAACGAGGGGGGTCCCGTAAGACACATGTCAGTGGAGAGGAGGGTATGTGTTTTTTCTTGCTCACGTTTTGGGGGGCACGATGGGGTGAGTGAGTGCAGGTCAAGGATGGGCCGGTAGGTTTAGCCACTTTTGATCGGTTTCGGGTAGACCGCTTTATTACCAGGCTTCGATTGTGACTCTGTGTGTTTTTGGAGGCTCAGGATAGTGGCATAATTTGACACACGTCCATATATCAGTCATTTTCCGGCACTAAGAGGATACATAAAGACATCAACCAGCCTAAGTTGGATGTTTTTTTTGGGTACACATGCGCATGATTCCTGTTGAACACCTCGTTTAGGGAAGGGGCCTTGGCCAGGGCTGCCGACTTGATCCGGCCTCTTGGAAGGGGCGGCATCTCGGCGTTTTGGTCCAGGAGTTGTTGGAGAAGTTGGAGGTTCAGCGGCAAATCCTGCTGCAGGACGCACTTCGGGATTCAATGAGAGGCCATGGGGCCAGGTGCCATTCAGCTGCAGAGACGGTTTGTCCGAGGGATTCCTTGCATGCTGGGATGCGCTGAACATTGTTTGGATGCGCGGGTCCCGGTGGGAAAGGTGATGGTAAGGTGGATTGGCAGATGGATAATTTTACGCCCCCCCACCCCCCCCCCCCCCGAAATTCATTTCTGGGATGTGGTGAATGTTTGCTCCAAAGAGATGGCGTTGTCGTTTCCAGCTGGGCAACTCCGGTCGAAATTTGCCTAAGTTGGCTTGCTGAGTAGTTTGAGTTGGGACTTCTTGCGCGTGAGGACTACAAGAACTTCACACGCGCTTGCCCCGGGGGAGTCTCACAAGGGATCAGCTGTGTCTTTCTCTCTTTCTCTCCGTCTCTTTTTCCAAGTTGCCCTCTCATGTCTGTTCCTCTTTCTCCTGTTTGTCTCCCTCTCTCCCTCTCTGCGGAGCTGGTTCGGTTCATGCCGGACTTGGCACGCATGGTGAGTCAGGCAGACTTGGTGCAGGCCACCTGCTTGGGCACCTGTGGGCATCCCTTCCTATCTTTGCCGGAAAGTTTGTCTACGGCATGGTATTTGGGCTTAAGGGGAATTCTGGGCCGACTTGAGCTTTCGGAGACTTCACACGGTTGGTGGTTTATCCCAGTTAGAAGGCTTTTTCATCTATCTCAAGTGGTGCGAAGTGGATGTGGTCTATCCACTGCAGCAATGGCAACCCTGCAATACTCAGTGCGTAGGCCCAATCTCTGTTGGGCTGGCCGCCACCAGTCTCGATGGGCAGCCTTGTGCAAGGTCATGAATTAGGGCTGAATGCCGATTTCGCCTGGCCATCCCTGAGGTTCTCACAGATTTTAGGGCAGATGAACTTTGACACAGATTCTGTTTGTTCTGGGTACCCCAGATGGTCAAGAGCCCCTGAGGCGCAGCAGCTCCCCATTTCTGAAGGTGTGTGTGTGTGTGTGCGCAGTTGTCTTCTTGCCTTTCAAGGCCTTGTTTTGGTGGCAAAGCCTGGGTGTCGAAAAAGCATGGCCATGCTGGGGTCGGCGACTAGCCACAGCCCTCATTCCTTGAAGCAAGTCAAATCAATGTGTCTTAAACGCACATGCACGTGCTCACCCGAAGCCTAAGAATTGACATTGAACTCTCAATCTGCACACGCTCTTTCAAGCCGGTCAGGATCCAAGAAACCAACAGCATGTGTGGAGCAACAAGTTGCATCTTTGCACCAAACAAAAAGGGTTCCTCTCTCTCTCTCGCTCTGTGACTGTGTGTCTGTGTCTGTGTGTCTGCGTCTGTGTGTCTGTGTGTCTGTGTGTTTGTGTCTGTGTCGGTGTTTCTCGTGTGTGTGTGTGTGTGTGCGCGCCTGTGTCTGTGTATGTCTGTTTGTCTGCCTACGTGTGCTTGTGTTTGTGGATGTATATATGTGTGTGTCAACGAAGCTGACTGACATGAGGCAAGGATATGATTCGGGGACGTCTGAATCATGTACCTGCATATCTTCTTATAGAGACATCCTTCGTTTGCCCCGATGTCTCACCACCTGTCCGTTTGGCCATTCCAGCTTTTGAGCCTGTACCCTCGACTGGAACTAGACCAAGCCACGAGCACACGCATAGGAGAGTAACAGCGTGAATCCAAGAGGAGGGAATACCACAAGAGTGTCGGTGTGTGTTTGTTTGTTTGCGTGTGTGTCTATGTGTCTGTGTGTGTGTGCCCACGTGTGCTTGCGTAAGCGTGCGCGTGTGCGTGTGTGTGTCACAGTGTGTGTGGGTGTGTGTGTGTGTGTGTCAGTGTCAGTGTCAGTGTCAGTGTCAGTGTCAGTGTCTGTGGCTGCGTGTGTGTGTGTGTGGGCATCTAGGCGAGGAGCCCTGGTCTGCCCGGCTCTGAATGGGCCAAAGGGCTGGGTGAGAAAAAAGACAGAGTGCCAAGTCAGTGGTTCGAATCGGTTTGGGTCTTTGGCCATCTCCCTCGTTCCAAGGCCTCTTGTGCTTTAAGCTTCTGAGATTGCAGGTTCATAGAGGTTGGTAGAACATCTCCATTGGGCCAGCCGGAAAAGCCTCTTGACACACAGTGCGTGCTTAGGGAATATCGGGCATGTCCTTTATCATGTTTCGAACCATGAACAAACCACAGATACTTTTGTTTGAAAGATTATTCCCGGACTGCAGGTCTGTGCTGGGAACCTTTAGGCCTGGTTACTTGGAAACAACGGTTGGTCCAGTTGATTTCGGCGAGTCCCCTAGCAGCACGCGGAGCCAAAGGGAAGAGGCAAAAGAGCGTGGCTGGCGCTGAGGCCGATTGATAAGGGTGTGAGGCGCATAGGGTGAACGGCCTTGCCGACATCCATATTGAAAGTGCATTCATTAAAGCCAGCTCTCACTGTATGAATTGCCCTTGCCACCAGTGAAGCACAGCCGAAGGCACTACGTTGTAGAGGCCACCCGGAAGCCACGAAACCTGCCACGTTGAAGATGGGAACGCAGTGCGTAGACAGAAGTTGGCAAAGCTCGAAGAAAAACCGATGCCGTAGACCAGCAACAATCCCAAAGTTCACGGGCACCGCTCTGTATCTCCGAGTCTCAAGTTTTAAGCCTTTCGTCGGAACAAGGCGCTGAAGAATGCCATTGCGTTCCTTTCATGTGTCATCAACGTTGCTCAGGCCAAACCGTTCTTTCAGAGGCCACAAAGACGGCTTTTGCAAGCCCAGTTGGACATGGAACGATGAACGTTTCGCGCACCCGCTAGTAAGGGACTCCCCAACACGGAGCCCCACATGCCTCTATTTTCAGAGAGGGCCCCCATTTGAACACTTTTTGTGGGTTCCAGTAGCTGTTTCTATCAGCGCCGAGGTTGGGAACTACTACCTTTCGCAGCTCATGTTGAGCAAATCTTGGCATCTGTCGGAGTACATCGAGGCGCGCTTGCGCCTGCAGCAGCGTCCGGCCGCCGCCGTATGCAGGGTTTTACCCAAAACCTAAGCGGACCCAAATGTGACGACCAGCCACCGGAACGTCACATGCAGTAGCTATTCTGGAGTTGCTTCTTGCATCGCCAGCGAGCAGCAGCAATTCCCAGTGTGTCAGCAGGGCTCAGATCTGGGGCTTCCATTGCGCTCCAAGAGTCGCGCTCGCGCGCTCAGGTCCTGGAGAAGCCGCCGGATCTCCGGGTGATGGCGCGGGCGGTGCGAGAGGCATCGAGTTCACGTGGGTTGGGGTCGGCTGGGTCGGTTGGACAAAGCCGTAGGTGTTTCACCAGCCCCGGAAACCAAGAACCCGTTTGTTCCTTTTGTTGGAGCAGAGAACCTGGCAATTGGGAGGGTTCAATGGCTTTCGAAAGAATGGTCTTGCCGAGGCAGCCAGCTGAAGTGGGGTACTTGCGCAGGTTCACCGAAACCACGATGTTGGCGGGCATGATCTTAGAGAGGCAGAGTGGGATGCAGCCTGTCACGGGGCCTGCGAACCGTGTCTGGCGGCATGCCCCTCCTGCCAGGCCCTGTCAAAGGTTCAGGTCGAAATGCTGGTGCCTTTGCCTCAGAGCGGGCAGCTCTCGGCCACGTGACATTTGCTTGACACAGAAGGCTATTGGACTCCCCGAACTTGTTCTCCTCAAAGCTGAGCCTCTCAAAGGGCACGCTGCCATCACGTTGGCCACCCGCCTCGTTGCGAGAGTGGCCGCTTTCGCCCAAAGGCACGGCAATGCTACGGAAGAGAACGCGCGCAAACTGGCTGACAGCTTCTGCGGCGGACTCATACGAATTGGGTGGGCCCAGTGAAACACCCAAATGTGCAGCGCTTTGCGTTCCAGGGTGGCTGAAAAGGAAGCATCAGTCCAGTTTGCATGCCTTAAGATTCCCCGCTCACGGCGACTGGCCATCGCGAGCTCGCCCGGGGCCACCCGAGCTCGCCTGGGGCCGCGCGAGCTCCCCATGAAACCCAAGTGAAGGTCCCTTGTTTGCTCGCTCCAAGCCGAATTGACGCAAGGCGCCGTTTTTGGGGCAAGAATTCTTGCGGCTATCCGATGGAAAACCGCAAGCTTCCCATCCCAGCACCGAAATGAGGTGGTCGCCTGGAGCGGCTGGGCGCCGAGCCCCTGCCGAAGCTTCGCAAGAAGGAGGCGCCCAACCCCAAACCTCCAGCATTTCGCCTGTCCTTTCTCTTGAGGGCGGTGTTTTCTTGCCATGGCCACTGGGGTATCTACCAGTCTGGGTTGCTTCCTGAGGGCTTGAGCCTTAGGCCCTGTACATTTTGTTTGGCAGCGTGATCATCGCTGAACTCAAGAACAGCGGTCCGACTCAGTCGAGTCTTCATAGCCTTTGTAATTTTTATGGGGTTCGAGCTCACCGTCCAGAGCGAAACGATCTTTTTCTTGGAGTCTCAATTCTTATTTTTGACGGAATGCGACGTTTAGGTCGCTGAGGTTGGGGTTGAAATAGTGCGGGCGGCGGTGCCCAAGGTCCAGAGTAACTCTGGCAGAGCGTTAGCGTTTTTGTTTGGCTGGGGGGCTTTTGAGGTCTGTGTTGGGTGTTTGCTGGGGTCTTGGCTGGGTGATTTTATCTGAGTTCAGCAATTCAACAAAGTTATTCAAGTGTTCTTCTGTTGGATGTCTCTTTACAATCATTTCTTTGAGAGGCGAGTGTGCTTGTTCTGCTGGCGTTGCTTCCAAGCCGTTCTGAGACCTGGGCTGGAAAGTGATCCCGCAGTCGCAATGAGACTGGCTACACACGGTCAGAAAGAAGCGGCCAAGCACGTAAACCTTGAAGTGAGCTTAGAGGCTTGGCGCATAACGCCGAGCCTTATGGAGGCTTGGAGGCCAGAGGTTCAGAGGCTGGAAGTGGAACCTGAGAGGAGCTGGGCCTCCGGCTTTCTCCCCATAGACCCTCCCAACCTTTTGCGAGCCCGTCAAGCTTGACCAAGGACATGCCACGTGCGCTTTCCGCGTGCGTGCCAGGTGCCCAAGTTGCCCCTGGGCACTTTGGTCTTCGAGTTCGACCTGGCAAAGCTGAACCCTGCGCAGGACAGTCCTCGAGAATGGTAAATTCTAGCAATATGGATGCCCCTCGCAAGTCAGGTTCAATCTTTCGGACACACCTTGTCCTTCCTATTGGGCGGCATCGGCCCAATAGGATTCGACTGGCTCTTTTGGGCGTTGTGCCTAGGAAGCGGATTGTTTCCATGCCTAATCTGGCTGCGAAGGCGGCTTACAAGAAAGAGCAGTTAGTGTCCCAAGTCCAGGTTGGTAGTTCGAGATTCCTAGGGAAGTGAGTTCGCCAGGAGAATTGCTGCACGCAGGTGGTGTACCAGGCTCGAGCATGACGGAGCTCGCGGAAGTGCCTTCAGTCTGAAACCGGTTGTCAAAGGGGTATCACAACCACCCTTCGCCTTGGACCTTTCGGAGTATCAAGCCAAAAGCAAATCAAATCAAACGACCCTTCTCCCCTAAACAATGTCTTTGTGGCGGGGCTGGGTAAAGTCCCCTGCTGCAAGTGTTTCCCACGCGCTTCTGCGGGGGCATGATGGTGAGACGAGCGCCCAAAAGCTTCAAAAGGGCCATTTCAGTGGGTGGCTCGACTATTGGGACTATCGCAAGGGCTCTATAAACCTCCTATAACTATCATTATCGTATGACAATGTCAGCTCGGGTGAAAATGGTGCTGACAAACATCTTGGTTCCAGCTTCGCAGGTGGGGCCGACCAACGTAGATCTGCAGCGCGATGCCTGCGTGTCGCTGTGCTGCGCGGGGCCACGACTTGACGGCATTTGTGGCCAAGCTGGCTTGCAAACTAAGACAAGTTCCCTACTCCCAAGCCACTGTCCTTAGGGGTTGAATGCGACACATTGCGATATGCAGCCGCATATTCGGGGACTATCTTAGATGAATCGGAAGCCATTTCCTAGAGCCCAAGGCTTCTCCCGGGTTCGTTAGCATCGCCTTTCGGTGCCTGGAAGGCTTTGCCTTTGGGACCCAATGTTTGGTGACGGCTTGCGTTTGTACTGCTTCTCCAGTTCGACGTATTTCGAGACTCTAATTGGACTCAATTCAGTCTTTCACTACCTTCCGCTTGTTGCACACCATTTTGCAGTTTTGCTTATTTCTCAGTGGTTAGTCTTGTGTTCTCAAGTTCTTTGCGTCTTCGCGAACCGATCGTGTTTTTCCATTCTTTCTGCTCGGTCTCTTTCGATTTCGCTTTCCGAGCTCTCGCGGTGTCCGGCGCCAACTTTGAGCTCTCTGAGCCAATGGAAGTTGCCATAGGGTTCCACTTTTTGACTACCCTCAAATGGGTTCTTTAACCCAGGAGTGAGTCATGTACCCCAAAAAGGACACTGGGTTTAACTCTATTCGGCAGTCAAAAAGTAGAACCCTGTGCCATGCTATGCAATCATTGCAGGTGACATAACTTTTAATCAGAGTTGCAGAAAGAGAAGCTCCAGCGGACGCTTGTCAGGTCCGTGTTGGCATATTAGGGCGCGCAGTTTTTTTTGGGAGAGTGGTGCATTCTGGAAGGCTGTAAATGTTCAAAGCAATCATTTCCGATGATACTTGCATGTCAACTTGGTTCTACATACGCCACCGCCTGTCAAAGCTGATTTGAAACATCTCTGCTTGAACAATAATTTCCGATGCCCTCATCGCGCTTGCCTGGATCGCGCTTCACATCCTGTTGGACAGGAACTCCCATTTCCTATTGGACAGGAATTCCGATTTGAATTCTAGTTCAAAATGACTATTCTAGTTGAGTTCTTTCTGAGATTTACATTCTATGTGGAAAAAGTCCCACTTCGTCTAATGTACGTCTAATGTAACCCTGATTAGGTTGTATCATTCTTAAACTATCTTCAACATCCAGCTGAATATTTAACAAACAATTAGCTGGACAGGAAATCCAGTTTAGATTCTAGCCCGAAGCGCCAATCCTACTTGAATTATTTGCCTATTAAGTCCTTTAAGATTCAAAGTAAATTCCAATCAAGGACCCTATTTGGAAAATTTTAAACATACCAATTTTGATTAAAGTTCTGATTTGAAATAGTATGTTTGATCAAATTAGTATCCGCTAAGTTCTATATGAATGCTAATTGTGCTTTGGTTCTATTTAAATCCAACATTTCAGATAGTTTGTTAATTGGACTTGAAATGAAACACTGTTTCCTTATTACAACCAATTTGGAATTTGAATCACCATTGGATTCAACACATATTGCAACCAACTCATAGGAGTTCTACATAGTTTGCCTCATTGAATCCTATATCAATTCAAATTCTGTCTCAATCAAACTTCGATATTTAAAGGTTGAGTTGCCACATAGATTGTAGTTGAATCAATCCCGTATTAAACAATACGTTGATCTAAGTGAGTTGCACCTTACTTGGACATGGATTCCTACCAAGCTTCTAATTTTACATTAGCAGTTTAGCAGGAGTGTATTCCCAAGTAAGTTTTTCTTTAAACAACATACACATTCTATTGGACAGCCATTGCAGATCTTGACCTCTGTATATTTTTTCAGGTCAGCCTTGCAAAACCTGGGGAGGTCCCAAGAAAGATAGCGAGGTCCGAAACAAATGCCTCCCATGATTGCTCTCTTTAGGACCTCTCCGTTTGTTGTGAGGCCTTGCAAAGGTTAACAAGAAGTCAATGAGAGGCTGCGTGAAAGGAGTCTGAGGCCACCACAAAAGAACCCAAACCAATCGTGAGGAGTCCCTAGCCCAGCCCGAGAGTCCTGGGGTGTGCCGTGTTTGTTGTGGGACAGTTTCGCTTTTTTGGGGGTCCCAGCTTGCTTGCATTTTGTGAGGCTGACCCCAACAAAGTGCGGCACTGTCAAACAACAATGCTGACAAGACTGTCCCAACAAAAAGCCAAGATTTGTTTTTTGGGACAGTCTCCCATTTTTGTGAGGCTGACCCAACAAAGTGTAGCGCTGCTCAAGAAAGCAACTGACAAGCTCAGGCCTCACAAAAGCGCGAGACTGTCCCACAAGAATCGAAACACAATCCCTGGGGTCCTGCGCAGGCCAAGAGCTGAAGAGTATTACTATGCAGGATTGCGTTTCTTGTGTTGTTGTTTTGACGGTCTCGCTTTTTGGAGTCTGCGCTTGAAAGCATGAGACACATTGAGAAGCAGCCACCGCAACTACATCGGTGTCTCCCTTGGTGTCCAATGCAGGCGCCAGTAAGAATACCCCTGCACGAACTAGTGCAACCCTGCACAAGCGAGTGCTACTTTTGCGCCAAGCCCGTGGGAACTGTGAGGCCACATCGGCCACGTCTCGGCCTTTCAGAAGCTCCGAACTGAACGCCAGCCGGGCCACCCGGGAAGAGTCCGGACATCGCCGAGCGCAGTTGCCGACAAGGCGCTGGGTTTTTGCCGGCCTGTGTTTTCGTGTGGCGGATAAGATTAAACGGGGCACTCCATGTTTGCCTTTTTCCTGGATGCAACTTTCCAAGCGCTCGCTTAGGCTCGGCTACATTGTGCAAGCCTTTCCTGCTGTCACCGAGCACGTGTGCGGGTTCTCGGTGCTGGTGCAGGGAAACAGGCGAGCTTTGGGGCAGGGGCTGGGGGGCTTGGGGCAATGGGCTTGGCTCAAAATACACAGCCAGGCGTGGAGCCAAAGCAACATTCGTCTCGCATGTTAGACCCTCCCTGCACAGCATGCCTTCTCTCTTTGGGCATGCTAAAGCAGTTTCGGCACCACACGCGCTGATTGTTTGCGGGCATTTGATTGCACGCGACTTACAAAGTACCCTACCTTCTTTTGCCCTCCTTGCACTCTAGCTTCTTGCCTCCCACAAATTGCTGCTGGTAGCTGGTGCTTTTCTTCCACGCACGAGATCATGGACACGGGCAACACAATTGCCTCTTCCTGCGTCTGGTGGGTCCTGCGCCCTGCTGCATAGTAGCGATACTACAATCAGCGGATACCCTTGCCTGCAGCTGTCTCAGACACGAAGGCGAACGTCGCAGCTTAGTTGAATCCGACACAATCTTCATTCTCATGTTTGTTTGCCGGAAGACCTCACTAGATTTACACTAGTATCAAGATGTCAGAAGCCATGGGGACAGCCCCTATGCCACACGGCTTGTGTACTCCGTGCCTAGCCGAGGTACTGAGATCATACCGGGGTTGCCATTGTTCAGGGGACTCATTCAACGGGTTCTAATAAATTGGTTCCCGCTTGCACCAAAGGCCAGTCATAGCACCCATCCTGAACCCGTGCTGGGTGTGCGTTTTGTTGAGAGTACCTTTTTCAGCCAGGTTTCAAAGGGACACCTGGAGGAAAGCCATTATAGGGTTCCCCGAGATTGGCTCACACACACGTACACATTTGTTGGACGCCCCCCCCCCAGATGGTGCAGCTTCGCCTTTTCACGTGCAGGGAGCACCCAAAGGAAGTGGACCGACTGATCGAAGAATGGCTGGAAGATTTCGGCGAGGAGCCTGGGTCGGGAGCTGGGAATGGGAACCCAGGATTCCCCTGCCTTCCGTTCGATTGAGTCACCTCGGTACAGGGACATGGGACAAACGAGGCGGCCAAGCATAGCTGCATAACGGCACAAAGCGACCTACATAATGTCCGCCTCGGCATTACTCCGCACATTCACATGGAACTCAAAATGAGAGTTGGGGCCAAGCGGAGATTCCTCTAAACATGGATGGTGTTGGGTTCCATGCTGACCTGCAGGAGGGTAAAGGGAGCAGAAACCCTTTTCGCAAGGTGTAATGATTGGGATTTGCAAATCTTCGACTCGTGTGAGCAAATACTAGCCCCCTCCACGGGCTGAAGAGACCCTATCCCTTGTGACTCATCAGACGTTGGTGGTCGCTGTTTGAGCAGATCACTAGCCTTGGCGATTCAAACACCTTCATTCTCTGTTTGCCTTCCTTTTTTGGCATAAAAGTGGAGAGCGGCCTTAGTTGGGCTGCCCAAATCTGAGTTTTTGTATATTGGACGGTGAGGTTAGGGGTTGCAGATGTGCCAATAGATTTAAACCCCAAGCCGTGCAAATCAGCGGCTTAAATCCAAACTGACAGAGCCCTTCCTTCTGGAACCTGCTTGCCCAGGAGCTCACAAATATGAGCGACGATGACTTCCAGAAGAACGTCGAGGCCAGGAGAGGATTTGTTGCGATGCTTTCTCACGCTGGATTTCTGTCAGACAAGCGTCTCCTGCGCTGTTAAGTGTGGAACGAGCTTACCTGGGTAGACGAGCTCGCCCGTGTAATCCCATTGGAGTCGGTGAATTCAGCTCTAACGAGATCCGCGCGAGGCCCTGGTGAACGAGCGCACGCAGCGCTACTCCCGCCGCAGCCCCAGCGGCGTGGCCTTCTTGGTGTACCGAAAGCCAACATGTTACAATACCCAGAAGCGGAGCTCCCGGCTGACGTGGACAAACAAGTGCAGAACATAGGTTTTCTGGGAGGGGGGGTGTCTTTTATTTTTTTTTTCGTGGCTTTCGTGCCTCCGAGGCCAAGCTGCCTACACCGAACCTTCAACCCTCAACCAACGCTAAACCTGCCTCGAGTCAACCCTCGCCTTGATTTCATTTTGAACCCCGCGCCACCCCCAAACCAATCCACCCTAAACCGATCCTAATTTCATTCTTGTTCTGTCTGGCGGACTCGCGGAAACAAAAGGGCTTTCTGTGCTGGTTGGTTTGGATTGGTGGAATTCGAAGCGCTGCTTCTTGCAGAGCGCAAGTGGAACACCACCTCGGAACACAGACCGCCAAGTGGGTGTGTCTTTCTTAAGGGTATTTTCTGTGGCTCAAAAGAAAACCTCGATTGGGGGGGCTCAAGGGAAGAGAACCAGCAAGGGCAGCTCAAGAGAAGCAACTTTCAAAGTAAGACCTTCCCCTGAACCGAACTCAATCGATTCTCGGAATCCAAAGCAAGCTGTGCACCGGATTGCATGTGAAAACGCTCCCTCAGGTGACTTGGCAAAGTTGTGGTTGTCCTCCCCAAGGTCACTCTACAATATGCTGGTTTGGAGGCTGTTTTTCCGAGAGCCCTTGAGAAAATGTCGCCCTCCAAGGGACCCACCCACCCACCCACCCACCCACCCACCCACCCACCCACCCACCCACCCACCCACCCACCCACACCCACCCACACCCACCCACACCCACCCACACCCACCCACACCCACCCACACCCACCCACCCACCCACCCACCCACCCACCCACCCACCACCCACCCACCACCCACCCACCCACCCCCCACCCACCCACCCCACCCACCCCACCCCACCCCACCCACCCCACCCCCCACCCCACCCACCCACCCCACCCCACCCCACCCCACCCCACCCCACCCACCCCACCCCACCCCCCACCCCACCCCACCCCACCCCACCCCACCCCACCCCCCACCCCCACCCCACCCCACCCACCCCACCCCACCCCACCCCACCCACCCACCCCACCCCACCCCACCCCACCCCACCCCACCCCACCCCACCCCACCCCACCCCACCCCCACCCACCCACCCCACCCCACCCCCCCCACCCCACCCCACCCCACCCCACCCCACCCCACCCCACCCCCCACCCCACCACCCCACCCACCCCCACCCCACCACCCACCCCACCCCACCCACCCAACCCCACCCACCCACCCCACCACCCCACCCCACCCACCCACCCCACCCCACCCACCCACCCCACCCCCCACCCACCCCACCCACCCACCCACCCACCCACCCACCCCACCCACCCACCCACCCACCCACCCCCACCCACCCACCCACCACCCACCCACCCACCCACCCACCCACCCACCCACCCACCCACACCCCACCCCACCCCACCCCACCCCACCCCACCCCACCCCACCCCACCCCACCCCACCCACCCCCCGGCCCGCCCACGCTCCAAACTGCAACCGAAGTCAGGCCTGGTCCAGGAGACCACCCGGCACTGGGCCGAGATCCTGCCGCGGAGGACTCGGGAGGGACGGGACGAGAAGGGCTCGGAGCCGTTTGCGGCGTGATGGCGCGCTAAGCCCAGACGAAACCGAAGTGGGGTTGCAACCTCATGGTTGGATCATTTAGTTGCTGCTTTCACCCTCCAATGGGTCTGAACTAGAGATGGGGGGGGTCAACCGCCAACTTTTCCGGACACCGCGGATACCGGTTGTTCAGGCAGGGTGTTCAGGATTCCAGTTCAAGGTGCCGGATATGCAGTGGTCCCCGTGTTCGATCCGTTTTGGGGTCACCCAAAATGGTCAACCGGCAAGGGTTTCCAGTCACTTTTCGCGATAGAGGTCGGCCTGCGGAGCTCTTGTGGGCATCAACCTCGTTCCACGCCCAACACCAAAAGGCCGTTTGCGAAAAGAGCTATGCGTGGCTCAGACCAGGGGATTTGGCTCACGCAAATGGCCCATAGCCTGAGCATGGTCATTCATTTGCACCAATCAGTACCTATCTATGGTTAGCTCTGCATTTAGGCAGGGATAGAGATGGAAGAGATAGGGAGATGCAGTTGATTCAATCAAGCTGATGGGTTCAGCCGATTTTTCCCGTCCCATACCTCCGACATGGCCTTGATCTCAGGGATGGTCAACTTTTCTTCAAACAACATGCTTGAACCAATGCCAGACCTAAACGGTTTCCCCTATGCCAGCCAAAACGCTGTCTTTTTGCAGGGGTTCTCCGTTTGACCCAGGAACACCCACGGTTTTGTCGATTCCTTTTGTGTCTTCACCTTTTTGTAAGGCCAAACCGGGGCCGGCGGTTTTTGTTCCTACCGATTCGTTTGCCCCTTCACCGAGAAATCTGCCAGGTTTTGGGCTGATTTGAAGGGAAGCGAACGTGCACCTCTTGTCTTGCTTTTTTGGATACCCAAAAATTGGGATGAGGTGTATTGTTTTCACATAGCCATACAGGTTGAACCATTCGTGAGACCGAATCGGAGAATCGGCGTCGCTGAGAGCCGCGTGCCAGGTACAAGTTCGAGAAGGTGGCGGAGTCCACGCGGGTGCTGCAGAAGGTGAAGCGCCAGGATGCCCGGCGCCTCAAGAAATGGGAATCCTGCGATCCCATCCTTGGCCGCCAAAAAGATGTTGTGAAAGCGTGTCTTTTCCCAACCCCGGCAAAGAGCCATTTGTGTTTGGAGGGCCCCTTGCCCTTCCAAAGGGTGGGTTCTTGGAAAACTCCGGCCCTCCAGTTTCCTTGTCGGACATCCTGGATAACACGACACCCGGTTGGTTTCCCGAAGGAAATTTGGGTCTGGCCCGGTTGTTTCTTGGCGAATGTTGCTTCCCTCATTGGTCCGCAAGCCGAGGGCGGGAGCATCGTCTTCTTGAGTTTGTTTGAGAATGGTTTCCACAAGTTTCAGTTTGGTCCATGTTCATTTGCCGATGGAATCCATCTCCAAATGGACGCCCGGTGAAACTGGGTTGAACTCTTCACAAGAGGAGGTGCTGGGGGCCACCCCTCGAGCTCAGGCAAGGCATGTGAACTAAATCCATTGTGCAGACTGCAGACCCTGCTGCAAAAAGCCTCAGACGCGCCTCAGGCTGTGTTAGCAGCCTTTTCCAAGACGTTTCTGGGGTGAGTCGTCGAGTCATGGGTTGACATGTGTCTCACACCAAAAAGGCGGCTATCGGGGGCTAAGTGAGTGCTCGAGGATTTCCAGAGGCTGCCAGCCCTCTCAACAGCAACAGGTTGCATCCTAGTTGCGAAGCCGTCAACAGAGTTCTCATGTCAAACGCATGGCTTCGTGTTGTTTGAGGGTGCCCTGGTGCACATTGGTTTAAAGGGAAGCCAAGGAGAAAGCGATCTTGTGCGAGGTCCCCCTTCTTTTGACACATGCCCACCTACTGTGAAACTCGCCGGCTCGCTGATTTGGGCTTGGATGCTTGGATACGCTTGTCACTCCTTTTGGGCTGCCTGTTCCTGGGATGTACGTGTCAAAACCACTTGCGCCAGTCCAAGCGACTGGCTTGTTTGTGCTTCCATTCAACCACAAACGGCAGCTTTCAGGTGATTTCGGATGATCTTGGTCCAAGCCAAGGGGAGTATGCAAACTGCAAAAAGTCACCTCCACGACGAAGAACCTCGCAACTGAGGGGGAGACCTGCTTGAGGGAGCACCATTGACGTCACAAAAGTTAAGAATAATGGTATGCTGACAAATGCCACCCCTAGGCGGAGTCAGGTTCGTTGAGTTTAACAGCCGTTCCTTGGGCGGTTTTAAGCATCGCTTTTTGTTTTGCCATTCACAAAAACGCGTCAATTTTCCCTAGGGGCATTGTTTTACGCGGAAATGGGAGGGAACCCTCTGAAACGCAGACCGAGGTCGTGGATTTCTTCGAGACCTATTTGGCGCCAAATGCCCCGGAGCGCAGGACTAGCCAAAAACCCAGCTGGGAAGACGAGCTGAGGGGTCAATTCGGAAGGGAACCGGGAATTGAAGGCTGAAAACCATGACAATGTGAGAGTTTGACGCCCAGAAGTTTACAGATCTCTGAGGGAGTTGCGCAGGCGTGTTCGGCAAATTGAAAACAAAAAAAGGCTCAGAAGTAGGCATGGCAGTGTCCATTCATTGCTTCGGGCTGTGCCCAAATTTGCTTGTTTGGGAAAGTGTGAAAACTCTCGAGTTGTCAAAAGCAAAAACACGAAATGACTCACCCCATGGCTCCATAGGGTCTGCCTTGTTGCTTTGTCTTGAACAACTTGCGGACTTTGCATGTTCGAAAGGAGCTGAAAAGCCTAATTAGAATATGAAACAGTTTCAATCACAAAGCAGTTCAAGTAGAGTGTCTATCGCAAGCTAAAGTTGACATAGGAGTTCCTTTCCAAATAGGGTTTCAAGTGAAGCTCCTTTGGAAGAAAATCCTTGTTGAATTAGATTTGTTCAGCTGGAATCCATACTGAAGCAAGGAAGTCTTGTTGTTTCTTCTACTCGGCCCGCCCATTAAAAAGAGCGAAACACCAAGATAGAACCCCCAATAATAACGAAATTTCAGCTCTATTATGTTAAGATGCACATCTAATCGGAGGACATATTCAAGTATATTTAAATGCCAGTTACATCATTACATCTGAATCCAATCCTGTTTGGAAACACGCTCCAATTTAAACCCTAGCTTAAGATCGACATGTCCATCGATCTGTTTCCGTACTAAGCTCTATTCAAACATAATTTGCTAATTAATTACATGATGCTTGTATTTGGACATCATCATTCCTTGTTAGATTCTGATTTTAGATTGGAATTCAAATTGCTCCCACATTTAGGCACTCTGAGCCTTGAAATTTAAGCTTTGCATCCGAACAGAACTGAATTTGCACTTCCTGAAGTTTCGATTGGTGCGAAAACGAAAGGAAACCAGACAGCTCGGAGACAGAGCGAGAATAGTTCGAGCCTCAGGCTGCCTTTGACAGCACGTGTGCATAATTCAGAAGCAAACGCCAACAAGCACCTTGAGAAAACAAAAGGCCACACAAAGCAGACTCTATGTAATTATCCATGTGGGCTGAGTTAGGGTTTGATGTTTTCTGGAAACTCGAAGTGCTTCTGTTTTGTTTGTTTATCCTTTTGTGTTTATCCTTTTGGGGGGAATGTAAAACACCTCAAGAGAAGCAACACACGTCGTACCTCTCATGGTGTACCCCTATTGCAAGCCACAGGACCCCAATTGTACCTCCCATGGTTGCCATGGCAGCATCCCCTTGTCGGACCCGTCGCATCCCGCCTCCTTTTGGCTCGTGGCTTCCCGTCAGGAAGCTTAGCGTGCGGGTGCTGGGCACCTCCGCGGGAGAGGAGCGCAGCGACGAGCTGCTGCCTCGGGTCGGTCGGCGTGGCGGGTTTAATGCGCAGGGGGGAGGAAACACCGCGGAGGTGGCACAAGATCCCCCATAATTTCTTTGCTAGGGATTTTCATGGACCTCCCTGGCCTTCAGCCTGAAACCGGCAAAGTATCGACCCACTTGAATTGCACAAACTGGGAGGATTGTCTGAGTGCCCCCTGCTTGCCTTTGGAGACGAATTCTACACCGCGTGGTCGTTACCCAACCTGCAGGGAAGGAGGTCCTCAACCGCCAGTGTGGCATTGATTGGACTTCAACTTCACCCACTTGTGGTGGAAAACCAGTCCCAGTTTCGGAGGTTCAACCCACGTTGAGCGGACCAATCTTCAGATGAACTCATTTCCAGGGTTTGGGGCCTTCGTCAGGGATAGGGCAAGAGTCAGGGATAGGGTAAGAATCGAGATCTCCGAATCACCAGGAGAGGGCATGAAGAGGGAGAGAGAGCGAGCGAGAGACACAGAGACAGCCACTTGGGGAGCAGGAGGTCCAATGTCCATCTCGTGGATTCGAGGCCGGACCAGCTGCTGACCTGCTTGGAGGACCTCCGAAGCTTCCATCAGCGCGCTGAGCCCGGGCCTCAGACCGAGAGGAGTCCTAGGGTTAGGTTCATAGGGTTTGAACCCCGCGCAATGGGTGGTGTCCTTTTGAGTTTCCGTTCCGGAAGGGTACCCCAACAAAAAGGCAAGCCTATGAATTTCCGCTGGTTTTAGGTTGGTTCATGATCGATTGGAGCCAGAGGACAAGGGCGTGACTGGGCGTGACTGTGCCCACAATATGGAGTTGTGGCAAGGTGGCCTGAACAATGGGAGCTTCATTTTTCTGTCGGGGCTTTCTAGAATTGGCCTCATGCGCAAGTTTGGGTTTCAAAAGAAGCGTTTTGCAGTGCCCGCACACTTGCTGCAACTGTTCACTCACTTGCCCAAAACCGAGGTTTCCTTTTTTGGGCCATTTCTAGTCATGACCCCAAAAGGCTCACCCTCTGTTGGCCATTGAGTTCCGTGCGAAAGTCGTTTGCAAAGTACACTTTGCCAGTTTGGAAGTAGCTCGTGAAGTGGGCCTTCACAAGGCTAAGTCTGGGGGAAGGAATGGCTGGTTTGCTGCAAAGGGGGCCTCAATGCGTTTTTCTATCGTTGGTGGCCCATGGGTCTGAATGGAGCTTCTTACGCTTGTTTCGGAGAATTTGGCTTTCACCCAACCTGGCATGGATATGCCGGTGTGTACGTGCGTATACGTGCCCGATAATACACACACACACATATATATGGTACAGCGTTGCCAGCCCCCCCCCCCCCCCCCCACCAATGGTCATGGGTCAGACAAGTACCCCCCCCCCCCCTGTGGTTGTGGTCCTGTGGTTGGGTTGTGGTGGTTTAGGGTTGGTTAGAATTGGTTTAGGGTATATTTAGGGTGTATTTCTGGTTAGTTTAGGGTTGGCTTAGGGTTGGTTTATGTTGATTTAGGGTTGGTTTAGGGTTGGTTTAGGGTTTGTTTAGGTTTACGGTTTAGTGCTTGGTTTAGGGGGGTTAGTTTAGGGTTGGTTTAGGGTTGGCTTAGGTTTAGGGTTTATTGTTTAGGGATTGGTTTAGGGTGCATTTGGGGTTAGTTTAGGGTTGGTTTAGGGTTAGTTTACGGTTGGTTTATGTTGATTTAGAGTTGGTTTAGGTTTAGAGGTCTACGGTTTAGGGTTTGGTTTAACGGGTATTTAGGGTTCGTTTAGGGTTAGTTTAGGGTTGGTTTATGGTTGGTTGCGGGTTGGCTTGTCCTGGGGGTGGGGTTGCCGGGGTGTCGGGGTGCGAGTTCAGGGGGTCGGGGTGGGGGTGGGACCGTAGGTGACAGGATCCGGGGGCTCGGGGTCTCGGGCCGGGGGGGGGGGGGTCCTGGGGGACCCATACCATAGTTAGACCCGGCCTCTCCCGTCCGTCAGATGGCATTTTTTCCCATACCCCCCCCTACACTTTTGGGCACAATTCAAATACACCCACTAAAACAACCTATTTTCAACATTCAAATTCAATCACCCAACCAATCCAACACCAAAAAACACATATTCACATACCCATCTTCATTTCTTACCCCATCTCAACATCACCCTTACACTCATTCAATAACAACAATCATAACTACATACCACCTCAACAAATCCCATCCAAAAAACCCAAGCTACATACCAACATTTTTCCATTCCCAAGATCGCAACCCCAAGATCTCAATAATTTCTCCCTTGATCCAACCTGAGACCCTTTCCCATTTCCAACAAATACGAACAGTCTAAAAAAGAACCCTATGTTCGCCCCGAAAAATGGTTAACCAATGGAAAAGGGAGAATTAAAACCGTTAACCCAAATCTTGAAAACAATCCCAGTAAAATATGGATGGCAAAATGCGGATCGGGAAAGGCCTATGTAGGAAAGCACCCCCACGGCTTATACGGGAAAATTAAACTATAATTATAACATATAAACATTTATATGTTATTATTATATTATGATTACAATTTCAGTACAGGATAATAATTTAATTGACAAATATTACTTCTTTCATACATCATTTTAAAAATAATATTAATATCTCTCACTGTATTTTTAACATTAAACTTTTTATAAATTTCAATATAAAATTTAATATATTCTTTAATATATTGTCCTTTCTTTTGACTATGACACAACATCAATAATATATCAGCAATCATTACATATTTTTTCTTACTGATTTTAAGAAACTGTTTAACATATTCATAAGGTGGTATTTTATTTACAGTTAAAAATATCAAAATGTCATCTTCTACATTTCTATTATGTCTTATTTTTTTTCTCAACACACAATTGATTATAGCTTGGTTATCTCTCCAGGTTTTACAATTTTCGCATATATCTTCTTCATCCATTGAATAATTAATAATACTATTCACTATTTCAATAGGCAAATTTAATTTATACAATTCCATATTTTCTTTTTTGAAGTGACAACAATCATAGCATTTTTTATTGATATAATTATTGATTTTATCATCGTTCATTTTCCTCTTATTATATTAAGGTAATATTTCTTTAAATACATTTTCAGGGAAACTTTTAAATCAAGCGAATTATAATTACAACATATAAGATCTTACATGTTGTAAGTATAGCAAAACTATGGTATCAAAGGCTTTAATCTATGTATTTCCAGGGGTTGTATTCGTTTCTTCTGTTCCTTCCTTAACTCTTTTGTTGCTTTTACTTTGTCTCTGCATTCCTTACATGTTTTGTAAAATATCTCTTCCATTTTAATTCTGTCATACATTTTGTGAAAGTCCTTTCTTGGCTTTGCTTCGTCGCATTTACTGCAAGGATAAACCATTGTGCATCCTGCTTCTTCTTCATCATCTGTAGAACTCATAATATTAGTTATGCCAATATGTCTTTAAACGGATTTTCAGAGAAAAATGTTTTCAATCAAGAATAAACCCCTGTATCTTCATCATAGTCAATTTGATAAAATGTCATAGTGGAAGACTTCGGTTCTTTAATTTCTTTGTTATTAAGTTTGTTTAAATAAATATTTCTTTTATTTTTATATTCACCATTGGTTCTATCTACTTCTTTACTTTGATAATTGTTTGTTAATGGTTTCTTCTTTTCCATTTCTTGTAAGATTTCTAAAATATTCTTATTCTGTTCTAAAACCTTGTTCAGTTTTTTAACTATCTTTTCTAATCCTTCATCCATGTAAATATATATATTATAATATAAAATAAAACTTTTAAAACTAAATGTTTAAATTATGTTAAATCTACTCTTTAAATACTAATTTTTCATCAGTTGTTTAACAGTTTCCTGTGTTTCCTTATCGCCATTCTCGGATGGAGTAACTCCCCTCCCAAAGCGAATAGCAATATTATGAACATCTGTTTCTAAATTTATACTGTCTTTAGTTTTATCAATATTCATTTTCTTATCATTTTTACTTATTTTGAAACTTGTTGGAATACACGAACATTTACAGTTTCCTTTCTTTTGTATTTCTAATTCATTTTTCATTTCTAAGATTTTTTTACACATTGGACAAGCAAACTCAATAACTGATGTCTCTTTAACAACTTCTTCTTTTTCTTCATCAGTTGAAGAAACAACTGGTTCAGTCTTAATCTTTTTCTTTCTTCCCATTTATATTAATATTTACATTTTTATTTTTGATATATTGTATCACAAACTTAATTAATTCTAAAATAAAATAAAATAATTTTTTACATCTATTATCAGTTATAACAACTTGTTCTATATTCTCTACTTCATCTATTATATTGATATAATCTGAATAGCTTCTATTCATATAAAATAATCAATATAAAATATTTTCTAAATAACTTTAATATTATTTTATTATGTCAGATGTTCCAATAATAAAGCCAATAAACATAACTGAATATGAATTCAAACAATCTAAATATGAGCACGTGCCAAAATTACCATTTAGAAGTATTATAGTTGCTTCTTCGACAGGTGGCAAAACAGTATTGGTTCAGAACCTTATCTTAAATGTTTATAGAAATTCATTTGCAAGAATATTTATATTTTCCCCCAGCGTTCATAATGACCCAACCTTTACAGAAGTTAAAAAATATATCAGGGATGAATTGCACGTGGATGATGAAAAAGAACAAATTTATTTTGATAATTATAATCCAAGTGATTTAGAAAATGTAATTGAAAGACAGAAGAAAATAATTAATTATATGAAATCTAAAAAGATAAAGAAACTACATTCAATATTAATCGTTATAGACGATCATGCCGACGATCCTAAATTTGTTAGATATAGTAAATTATTACATGGATTATTTACAAGAGGTAGGCACGATGCAGTAAGTGTAATTTGTTCAACACAAAAATATAATGTTTTGGCGCCTATCATTCGTTTAAATGCCAGTTCATTATATATTTTTAGGTTGAAAAATGCAAGTGAGTTAATGAGTTTTATTGAAGAAAATAGCGCCATTGTTGATAAACAGCAATTATTAGATATGTATCATCAAGCCGTTAATGACGCACCTTATAGTTTCTTCTACGTGAATATGAATGCTAAGGACATTAACAAAATGTTTCATATCAGATTTGAACAGGCGTTTCAAATTACAAATGATGAATAAAGATATTCTATTTTAATATAATATAATAATATGGTTATAAAACAATGTAGATGTGGTGGATTTTATCGTAGAGGTAATTATAATTTTCATACTAATTCTTGGATACATAAACTTTATAAGGTATTGAAAAGAAGGGCAACAGACGAGGAATTATTAAGATTTCAAAATAATTTTGTTGATGAAGACGATTTAATAGATGATATGTGTAGCAACGCCTCAACAAAATTACCCGAAAGTGAAATGACAGATTATGATAGTAATTAATAATATTAATGTATGTTAATATTATCAATTTAGAATAAAGAATAGCTACATAAATTTAAGGCAGGAAATTTATAATATGTTTTATCTTTTTTACATTCATTAACTTTTTCTAATTTATTTATTATTGCTTTCAATGAATTTATTTGTAGAATATCAATTCTTGACATTTCACTTATCGTATTTACATCTATATCTTTTATTACTTTAATAGCCTCTTCATCATCAATTTCTACTGGTTTTGATTTACTTGAACCCATTATATATAATATTATTTAGATTTTAATTTTTCAAAATTATATTTTTGTTTTTCTTCTCCGTCTTCTTCTTCTTCGTCTTCAGTTGGTGCTGGTATTTCTGTT